ATTTGTCATTCAAAACAAAGTCAGAATTATCATTCCTGGTATGTTCATGAATGATGACAATTCATCACTTGATACTGAAGGCAATAACCGATGAACGTTTTGGTGATGACATAACAACTGCTTATCAATAGCATCTTTGGGATCCCGAGCTAACATTATCGTCAGCACGGATGACTCAACCGTTGGTCATGGATCCTTATGATATGATAAGATAATGATAACGAACCAACCTTTCTCATCATCGCCAACCGCAGCGATGCCCATCGACCGAGTGAACATCTTGGCCATCAGTTCCCCTTCCCCTTCATCATCTTCCTCTTGTCCACTCAAACTGGTACCGGATGGGGTTGTGGTACGCGATTTTCGTGGATTTAATTGTGACTGTTTCGAAGAGAATTCATCCGTTAATGACCGTTCAACGATGTTATCAATTGCCTTAATGAGTGTTTTGTTCAATGATCTATATCCATTTCGAGATGAGATTGTCTTCAGTGAAAAAGCTGAAATCATCAAAAAAATTTTATAAAAGCATTACCTCCGAATGATATCGTTCCGGTTCAATTTCGTGCTTTTCACACTGTCTATCCATTGATTCCATTTCTTCATTCTGCATATTACTATTGCTGTCATCATTGATCTTACTGCTGCCACTATCGCCATTGTCATTACTGTTGCAATTATTATCCCTGATATCCTTACCATCCGTATCAGTATCATTCACCTTATCATTCTTATCATTACTGTTGCTCTCGTTATCATTGTGAATATTCTCATCATTGTTAGTAATATCGTTACTCGTATTCACATTATCCGATATGACAGTAATTGTTTCGTTTGATGAGGTACTCGTATCTGATACCGACTGATGCGACGAATCCGACAAATCTATTAATATCACATCTTCTTCAAAAGTACCAGAACATTTTTCAGCATAAGCAGATTCCCCAGAGACACGCTGGTTACCCACGGGCAAATCCTGACTCATAGTTTCGGAAGAAACGTTCCCAGAATCCATTGGATTACTCATAGGTAAAGGCGAACTTCCCAAGCGATCCTTCACGATATCCTGCTTCTGCTGTGACTCCGATGTCTCCGGCAATTGCACTGCTCTCAACTCATTGCTGTCCTCGTAATCAGTCGTATCATCGTCACCTTCCCCGTCACTAACCAAATCGTCAATATCAATTTCGTCGCCCAATGATTCCAATACCCGTTCCATCAGCTCAACTGAAGCTTCTTCTAGATCCATTCCGACCAGCGACGTCTCTGTATTTCTCTCTTCAGCACCTCCCTCACAACACGAACGCATCTCATCTCCCAATCGCCCTTTACCACTTAT